TTATTTTTTTAAATGTTATTAAAGAGTTTGTCTCGAGTGATCTCTTTTCAGGAAAAAGAACTGGAGAGAGAGACAGTTTCTGTGCCTTGAAACTGTCTCTGTAAATCATGTTACAGTCTGTGACATGATTTACAGAAGAAGTGTTGTTAACGGGTCAATCCGGTTTTGAAAAAACTGGGGTTATCAGTGGGAAAGCGGCTTCAGTGTTTTACTGCCACCTAGAGTGCGGGAGGGAGAAATTTAGTTACACTTGTTAGATATAATGCAGTGTTTTTCTAACGTGCGATTATTTTGCAAATGGAATTCCTCCGTACCTCCTGGATGTGGATCAGGAAGCGGTTGGATTCCTCCTCAGGGTCGATGACGCCGCCGTTACACCTCTGCTTCTCCAAAAGCTTCTGGAGCTCCGCCCACTTCCTCTGAAAGTCTGAGCCGATGGCCGCCTGATCAAGCTGAGAGAGAGAAAGCGGACGTCAGATTTCCGACCCGTGCGTTCAGAGCCGATCCGGGCGGGTTTTAATGGTAGCTGGGTTCACCTCGGGCAGCTCCGGCGCCGGAGACGATAAAAGCTGGTTGACGTCGTACGCGAGGGGCTCTCTGCAGACCGGGCACACCACCGTCAGCTCCTGTCAGAGGAGGGTTAGCAGGAGTAGGACGGAAAGCGTTTGGTTTTTACTGTCCAGCTGCTTATATCTGACCTGGCAGCTGCTTGTTTCTCTAGTTTTATCCTCCTGCAGCTCCTTCTCCCTCTGGCGGAGCTCCCGCTCAGAGTGCCTGACGTAGCGGCCGAGGCAGTGCGAGTGGAAGTAGTGGTAGCAGCTTGTCTTGGTGAAGGTCTCTCCTTCCTTAGAGGCAGAAACATCAACAAATTCACTTCAGTCACCAATGAAAAAAGCTGGAACTCCCCTGAATGCTTCTGGAAGTTTCCACCCAAACTGCAAATAAAAAAAAAAACAACCTTTGCAAAACAGCCTTACCTTAAACCCATAAAGGCAGATGACACAGTTTCCATGAGGAATATTGCTTTCAGTAAGGATTTCTTTAGCTTTCTGTAGCGGTTTAAAGAAAAAAAAGAGTAAATTGAAGAACAACAGGTCATCTCCATCAGCAACTGCAGCGCTTTTATGTCCGGACCTCAATGAGCTGATAAAGCACTGGAGATCCGAGCCACGACCGAGCCTCCGCCTGAAGACACTTCTGGACGCTGAGCAGAAAGAATCAGAGACGATTAACATCTAATCTCTATTGTAACACAGAATAAAGGTACGAGACTTTTTTACAGAGTGAATTGTTAGAGAATGGGGGGGGGGTAGAATGGGAGGCAGATCTTTTAGTTCTCAGGCTCCTCTCCTGTGGAACCAACTACTAGTCCGTGAGGCAGACA